TTGGTAGTCCGGTCGATACCAGTCTGGTTTTCTTCCCGGGGTCGGACTCGCTGTTGTGGGGGGTTGAGGGGAGTATTGATTCGATTGAGACGAGTATCCTTGATGCACATACCCTGGTGGCGTCACGATGGGGTACCACGCCTGAAAGTTCCCCGGAGCCGTCAAGGGTGGACCCCCCCTACTGGGCACAAACTGACGTGGTGCCGGCTTTGCCGCATGGGGTGGTCGGTCAAAATTTGATCTCCTGGGGTGAGGACACTTGCTGAGTAGATGATCAGAGGATCTGCAATTCCAGCACTGCAGTCCGTACGTGGCCAGGCCACTGACTTGTTCAATCCGGTCCTGCCACTGAGAAGGCTCGTAGTACTCCTTACTCTCGTCAGACGGGCCAGTAAGCGAGTGAGGTAGTTGGGGCTTCGCCGAAAAAACGTCAGGCTTTGAGGAGTTGAGCTCGATGTGATTCCGAGAGATGTCAATGTGCTTGAGGATGTGGTCCGGCATGACTGCCTTCTTGGCCATCGTTTTGCTGCCGCTGCACATGTCTTGTTCAACTCGGCGATCAACTTCTCGACGCAATTCTGAGCCTGCCTCAATAGATGATTGAAGCACTAGTCCGCCAATCGTCTCTCGCGTGAGGTCGAGATCAAGATCGGAGAAGTTGTCCAGTAGTTCAATAAGTGTCCCCATCGCCTCCGAGCTGCTGTTGTAATCTGAGAATTTGAAGCTCGTCAGCTTCTGCCATGTCATCATTTGTTCGGCCCGACTGATTGTGTTGAAACGGGTCGCGAGATGATAGTACATGTCGCGGCATGTTTTTTGCTTCAGCAGATTACGAACGAGTGCCGTATCGACCGTCGCGAGGAGGAGTGAACGTCCGACTTGTTCTTGGAACTGATCATTGCACGCCTTTGTGTACCATAAAGGGTCGCTGAAGAGTTCACGGACTCGCTCGCGCATGAACAGTTCCCACGTGCTGAAATTCGAACCGTCTGGCTTGAGCTTCTCCGCTGAGGCCATCCTTGAGATTTGGTTTTGAACCACCTGCCCGACTGTCTTCCCGTGAAACTGGTTTGCTTGGAGGAACCTGTCGACATCGTCCTCAGTATAGATCGGTACATTCCGACGATTGTTGCCGGGTGTGTCCTCTTGATTCGGGACCTGCCTATCCTGCGCCGACGAGACTCCTCTGCTGCGGGATCGGTGATGGCTTGAGGAGGCCGCCCCCTCGGTGTTGACCATGTTAGCAGTCGGGTCGAAACGGTCGTAGTTCCAAGGGTTGTCGTTGGGGTTGAACGAACGGGTGTTTTGGGGAGGGGAGTCTGACATAGTCAGTATGGATAGTGGCTTCGGTTAAGAATATAGAGAAAGAAGAAAAGGAAAAGAAGTGAGAGTGATTGGGATGAGAGAAACGGAAGGAGATACTGTGAAGGGAAAAAAAAGAAAAGAATCGATAGAGAAAAACAGGGAAGAGTGGGTAGAGATGGGGTTATTTAGTTTGGGTTGGAAAGGTGAACGGTGAAGTAGTTGTTGGTGTTGAATGAAAGAAGAAAAAAAAAAGGAAAAAATTATTGTCGTCGTCGGTCTGGTCCGATGGTGAGGAGAGTACCGCAAATCCACGACCCCCGTGTGTTGCGTCGGTGATGTTGTCACTCAGACGAAGTTCAGCCCCCTAGGTACCAAGGTATCGGGTTCGAGTTAGCTAGACTCTGGCCTACTGATGTCGTTGTTATCGTCACACGTCGGCTAACACAGGTATTTTGATGTTGAGTCTTGATGCGTATCGCGAAAGTTGAAGTCGTCCTACGCTGGGAGAAGTATTGAGAGGAACCGTCCCTACGCTGGGTGAAGATTTGATTTGACCGATGGAAGGAAAAAGGAAGAGCCCTACGCTGGGCTATGATAGAAAAATGATGATGAGATGAAGGCTCATAACCTGTTGAGGCATGAGATGATAGTTTCGAATGAGGAATGAGAAACATCAAACTATGTCTCGTGTCCGGGTGTCTAGTGAGCAGATGGTGACCCCAAAAAGGGGTTACAACACAGGCCATCATGATCTGCAACCGAATTCAGTCATCCATCAACCAAAGTTTTTGTCATGCATGGCACCCTTGCTTGGGCTTGGCCAAGCAAGGCTTTGCTCCAACCCCTGTCAACTTTGGCATGTGTCAAGTGCAGGTTGGGAGGGTGACAAGCGTGCTTTAGGATTGGCAAAGTGGGCTTGGCCTGTTTTTGGCTGAACTTTGGCCTGTTTTTGGCCAAACTTGAGCCCGAGCCCAGCATGGCTTGATAGACCATATATTCTAAATGGTAGTCAGCTTGCTGATTGTTCCAGCCAAAAGAAAGCTTCCCATTTTTTTTGCTGCAATTTGGACTGATACATAGACTTATGGAATTATATAAATCATATCATGGGCTTACAGCACACCCTTACCCTGTATTTATGTGGTAAGAAGTTGAATTTTATGCATTTGAACTTACATAGAGCAAAAATCCTACCCAGGGGAGACAATCAGCATGCATCCACAGCCTGAAAACCTCAGTCAGATTTAGATTTTTTTGAAAGAAAATATTGAGGGCCCCAATTGGGACTGCCCCAAAATTTGGGCCTGAAGGATGACTACCAGAACTCTAGAGCAAAAAAAATTGGCCAAAGCTGTGTGAGATTTACTCTAAAAAACACCCATCAAAATTGTTAATGCTCTCAGGCCACAGGGTCAGCATTGCACCCCAGTCCCTCCCTCAGGTTGGTGCAATGCAAAAAGTGGTCTACTACTCTGAATGACCAAGAAGGGAAGGGAATTGGTTGGTATCTCACTGGTCTTTGTCCAATCAGTATTCAATGTAAGATATCAACATTTTTTTTTTGTCAAGTTGTAATGGAGAAAGAACCCAACAAAATTAAACATGGCTGAAGGGGTCACTCATGAGATTGTCACATGCCAATATGGTCTGTTACTACACTAGCTCCTCCCAACAACCAGCTTATAAGCACCGGATATTTGAACTACGTTGTCTAACTCAGAGTAAGAGGATTGCGACATAAAATCTTTGTAGATTCAAGTAGCATGTAAGAGAGAACATCAGGAAAGACAGCCATATTGCGCTATGTACTTGTTCTTTGAATGTTACATATGGTATATGTATTAATCAGACAAGCCAAGTAAATTGATTTAAATAAATATCCATACAAACGACTCTGAAAGATCTGTGCAACGGTTTGGGGTCGAGATAGTCAGCAGCCATTCTAGGAGAAGTAGATGTACGGTAGAGTATGAAATGATACATGCGACGTAAAAACCGAATCATTATAGTCATGATTTTTGGTTTGTTCCATTCCGATCCATTAGCGCTTGCAATGTTGCACCCCGATGCATCCTCGGCTGGTATACGGCTGACCTCGCCCGGGACAGGAGCCGTAACAGGCAGCGTCTTCGGTTGTTGGTGGACCGGTCGTGTACCCCAGGGTGAATCGACTGGCCACGATAATGAGGAAGAGGACAGCCAATGGATGATCGACCCCACGGAATTTCTGCATAATGACGACCTTCGAAAGATTCGTAGTGTGTACCTGGGCACAGCTAGCTAAAAGCTCTGTTGAGGTGTCCGATTCAATTGCATGGATCAAGCATAAGAATAGGCTTACAAGAATCGGATAACGCGTAAAGAAATGGATCACTTCAACGCTAATAGCGAGAGTAAATAGAGTGAGAGTGATTGCATACGATTGCGTTGGATCAGCCGCAAAAGATTGTGTGGGATCAGCCGCAAATGATTGTGTTATGTAGCCAATATCCAAAAACGATTGTGTTGTATAGACCTGACGGGTCAGAAAAGCCGAGTGTACAGTGAGGTAGAATGAGTTAAAATTTTGGGCCAAAGGTGATCTTGGTAAGGTGCCTGGAGTTTGGAGCGTTGTTAAGTTGTTCCCGGTCAAATTTCTCAAGACACCAGCAACCTGATATATCGATCGACCAAAAATGCGCTGTCCACAAAGTCACACAAAGTGACTCTGAGCTGTCCCCTATAGGCTATGCCTGTCCCGGTCATGAGTGTAGAGCGCAGCGGTACAAAGTATTGAGAATAGGAAAACTCCCATATAACTAAAAATATGTGCATAATATGTAAATATATGTATGAGAAATATATGTATAAAGTATGGAATATGTGAATAGATATAAATCCATAGTCCTGTAACAACAATGAGGTCACCTATTAAAGACTTTTGTAGTAGGATAATCCTCCTATCACTTATGTACTACATTTCCACGTGTGATCACCTGATCCCACGCCACGGACAGTCTCGACGACACCTAACGACGTCTTCTCACACTGGCTTTTCCGTTTCTCTCACTTGAAGTTGTGTAGCCGATTTTATCAGCGGGCATGACTGTCCCATTAGCAGATCGGCTTGGACAATTGCTGGCCGATCTGCTGTTTGGAATTGTTGCTACACAGTTTGGTAGCAAAGGCCCATTTGCACTGGTAACCATGACTCCATGAGCAGCCGGTTATACCATTCTCGTTGTGTTGTGGCTGATCACCCTTGCACACGGTTGATCTGAGTCCTCGCCAGCCCATCTCTCCACTGGTTCATGTGCCCGGCAGGTCCCGGCCAACCGCTTGGAAGCTTGTCCCCTTGGACATGAGCTTCACGGCCCTTCACTTGCTTGATGGGACATGTCGTGAATAGAGCAAACAGTTGAATGACCGGTCCCGGCGATCGAAAGTAGCTCTCTCGTTGATCAGTCCCGGCCATCAAGGCCATCGAGAGTAGCTCCTTTGCGAGCCGGTCCCGGCGATTTGGTGTAGCTCTCACAATAACTGGTCTCCTGACGACCAGTCCCGGTCAACAAGAGGAGCCCTCTTCTGATGCCCGGTTCAGATCATCGGGAGAGCTACCGCGTTCCTCGATGACCGGTCCTGGCCATTGAGAGTGGCTCCCGTCCGGTCCTGGCCATCAGGAAAGCTACCGCTCTTATCGATGGCCGGGCCCAGTCATGAGGAGAGCTACTGTCGATGACCGGGACCGGCCAACGAGAATAGCTCTCGTCCGGTCCCGGACATCAGCGGAGGTGCTGCTCTTGTTGATGGCCGGTCCCGGCATGGTAGCTGCCGTCACGAACGGGCCCGGCAATTGAGAAGAGCTCTGGTCCGGTCCAGGCCATCAGAAGAGCTACTCCCGATGGCAAGGACACTTCATCGGGAGTTTATCTCTACAGTCTATCAAAGTTCCGGCCGTCGCTCCAGAAGACCTGCCCTGTTAAGCTACACCCACTTTATCGCTCGGAACTGTGTGTAGCTGGGGCTGGACCTCCATCAGGAGCTGCACTCTATCGATGGCCAGGACGGGTCATCCCCATTTCTCAACCCTCACCCTCCCCACCATCACTTCAATTTCCATATTCTAGCCCAATGACAAGCCCTCAGACCGAAGGATAACTTCCCTCCTACACATAAGCTCATGTCCATCCTCCACACAGGTGATAAATTGAGTACAATCGTTTGAGAACACTTGAATGCAAGGGAAGTGACTGCTCGTGGGAGGAGAAATGTGGTATTTCGAATGAAACATACACGATTGATAGGTTATATTTTGCTTGTGTCATACTCTTACTCAAAGGATTGTTTCAAAGAACTGATTCTGAGAATTTATTCTTATGCCAAGAGCATTTGGTGCATATGATCCACACATAGAAATAATCAATCTGGGTATTTTAAACCCACAAAAAACAGCATGTGGATTACTATTTCACTGAAAAAACTCCCACAATCTTCTTTCCAACTAGTAATTCAATGATCTTGTTCCATCATGCTTACTGCATGTTTTCATTGTTGTGGTTCAAGTAGAAACCTTCCATAATTATTTTACCCACTCCATCCCATGTAGTGTCCTTCCCAAACACATCAACAAGAGATGAAATCTAGATTTCAACCAATTCATTGAAATAGCAAAAAGTCTATGTATTGGGGAATAAAGCTGTACACATCTATTTGACAAATGCTATTTCTTTGAGCACTTAATTAAATTTTGATGCTACTCAAAATCTGACTCCTTTGATCCTGATTGCACTGGGGAAAGATTTCAAGGAGGAATGAAGCATCACCTTAAACAATATTAGGGCGCGTACCATAGCCGCCCGTGGACTGCCAATTTCAAATTTTTTGGCAGTAAATGTTTTTGGGCAAAAACGGGTACCACAGGGGTCAGTTTTTTCAACAACCCCACATAATTGTTTTTCCACTTTTGCTGGCGTTTGAGGAAACGGCCCCCACCCCCGTTTGCAAAAACGCAGCGTGCCACTTGTCTCCCAAAGCAACTGGACACCTTCTGTACACTCTACAGATGATAGATCCAACTCTCTTTGATATATCTCCGCCAGCTCAACCATCCGATGGGTTGGATGATCAACTACCCCCACTACCGCCTCCGCTGCTGCTTTCTCCAGAAGACAAGGCCTCAAAAAATCGCCCTCCAACCAGGAATACAGCCGAGATCACCCCTGAATCCTCCAAAACCATCGACAACCGCCCCGAAGTCATTGGCAACCATCCCAAAATCATCGGCAACCATCCCAAAATCATTGGCGACCATCCAAAAGACCCCTGCCATGACCTCCAAATCAACATCGATCAACTCAAAATCACTCCCAGATTCTGCAGCCTCCGATGGAAACACACCACACACTTGGACTACACTCAAAAAATGTAAACTTCTTGAATTGCTCTATGATCAAATGTCCGCGGGACATGCAACCGATAATGGAAATTTAAAAAAGGAAGGTTGGACCGGTGTAATGAACGGTCTAAATGAATACTTTGGCTTGAAACTCACTCGCAATCAAATCAAAAACCAAAAGAATGCGATCTGATCCCTCTTTTTCGACTACAAGTTCCTCTGTGAACAATCAGGCTTTGGTTGGGATGACAAAAAATTTACAGTTACAGCCGATGCGCGGACCTGGGATGAGCTCATTCAAGCCCATCCAAGAAGAAATTTTGGCAAGTTGAAAGACAAGCCATTTCTGATCTATGAGCTTGCGGAACGTGTACTTGTCGGCAACTTTGCACAAAGAGATAGTGTGAATAAACACTTACCTCCAGATGAGGATCCTGTCAATGCCATTGATAAGGCAAACCCCAAAGCTAATCCGACTGCGCCGGCGGCTCCGACTGCAACCTCAAAAAAGAGAAAGAATAAGAAGACAAAGGAGGTCTTGGTATCAAGTTCCTCTGACTCCGATACCGAGGTTCAACTGTCCAACACCCCAAGTCAGTCTAAGAAGTTGGATTCTTGCAAACGGATCCGTGAGACCAAGGGGAGTGTGGTTACAAGTAGTATTAGCGGACTGATTGGTGCAATCAACCATGCAAGTGATTTGATCATTAATCTAAACAGCCAGCAATCTCCCAAGAAGGATTATCGACCTGGTAAGTGGCTTATCTATGGTTTCAAGAATATTAATGACAGTAGTTGATGTCATGAATTCTGTCCGAGAAGATGCGCAACCCGATAACATGACCTCAACACCCCAATCAATCAGTGCAAAAGCTCTTAAAAGCCTTGCGGAACTTTTTCTGAACAACGTCGAGGACAACATGTACATTCGCTTTGTCTGGGTCCTTGAGGATGAAAAAAATTCTGCAACCTTTTTGTCCCTCACTCAAACCTGCTCAAAAAAAATCAGTCAGATGTGGCTTCAAAGTGAAGTTAACAGCCATTGAATAGTGCATTGTTTTTTTTCTTGCTATTAACAGTCTTGCACCTTGTTATGTTTACTCTTCATCTTTTAAAATCACGGCTCTCGCTTTTGAAAATTTTTCTTTTGAAGGATTGATTGAGGCTCCATTGTTTTTATTGACTGTTTCTCTCTCCTATTCATTTTTGCTAAAGAAAACTATATGATGTTCTTCTGGTTGTTCACTTAGAGTTCACTTAGAAATGGACACGATCAATTGCTAGGTGCAAGCGATTGATTGCTTTGAATTGACATCAAATGTTTCATTGCATTGATTGCTTGGACATGCAAGCAATCATCCTCAAATCAGAAACAATTGCTTGAACAAGCAAGCAATCAACATCAAAACAAAGAATTGCAAGCAACTGATCGCTTGGTTCAAATGCTAAGTACAAGTCCAAGCAATCGACTTCTAAGTAAATCTGAACACTTCGGCCACACAAGCGATGGAGCGAGAGGATTCCTGACTTGTCATTGTATGTAAGGAAGAAGCTGAAAACAACAGTGCAGAGATAAATCAAAACAGAAAAAAAACTATCGTGGTGGCCAATGAGATCATCTAAGGTGGGTTGCGTTTGTTGTTCTTTGGGATGTATATTCCATGTATTGGCCCCACATCTTCTGAGCTATGCGATCATGTCGTATCTTCATGCGCGTGTCCTAAACTGCAAGTGAAAAAGTGGTGTCGGGGGACTTGGAGGAGTTCCTCGATTCTGCCTCATTAATTTCAATCTCTTCAAGAAGCAATTGGAGAGATTTGTGTTTGCGGATGAAGTTCCAAAGCACGCAGAGTGAGTAGACCAAGCGTATCTGTTTGGACAGATCAATTTCCGGAGGACTCTTGAGGATTGTGAACTTTTTCTTGAAAACACCGAATAGTTGTTCGACAATATTTTGGAGTGATGCGTGTTGCAGATTGTAGAGCTCTTTTGGTGTTGCCGGACAAAGACCAGCGGCTGCTTGCTCTTTGAGATGGTATCAAACCGCTCGATAAGGTGTCATCAAACCAGGCTGTAGACCATAGCCTGCATCCGCAACAAGATAATTCTTTTCAGGTATTTTCAACCCCTTTGAAGTTGCATCGTTAAAAACTCGAGTGTCGTGTGCACTTCCTTCCCATCCTGCAAGGATGTATACAAATTCAAAATCAAAGTTCACCACCGCCAAGACATTATGACACAAAAAACCCTTTCGACATCGCCACGAAGATTGAATATTTGCGGGGACATGAGCTGGAATCAGGACACTGTCGATTGGGGGGTTGATAAGTGCAAGCCAACCCCCCACGCGCGCGCCAGCTGCAGATTGGCGTGCGCGCCTGCACGCCATTGCAGAATGGCGTGCGCGCCTGCACACCATTGCAGAATAGCGTGCAAGCAGGCAAGCCAATTGGCTGCAGGGGGGAGACCGTGCAGGTTGTTCGGGCTTCCCCAACACCTACGTGCTGTCCTCTAGATACAAGGCATTGTCCCCCACATAATGCTCTGTAGTAGACTCAGCCTCCTTGTCTCCCTATAACCTTATGTATACAAGCCCTTTAACTAGAGCGACTAGTGACAACCTCAACACAAAGCCGACCTAAGAAGG